GTTGCGTTCCCTATTACGCTACCGGGGCCACTTTTGACCTCTCAGCTCAATGGCTATTTGTGCCATTGCCTTCGAGCACTTGAGCTGAGAGGTCAAAAGTGGCCCGGTAGCGTAATAGGGAACGCAACTGCCCGGTAAGCAGAAGATGCGGGTTCGAATCCCGTCCGTGGTCCGACTTTTGCCCACAACTCAGCATTCTTGTGATAGCTTTCGGATCGCGCACTGCGGCGTTAAACAGCAGTTATCAAAGAATAACAGCATATCGATAAACGTTTGCATGATTGCCACAACATATTTCTGGATGAATCAATAAAAGTTTCCGCGCAAGTCTATTTTTGTTTACTTGTTTGTTTACTAGCACTTACGTGCACCATCGACAGCAAAAAAGAACATGAATATTAAGAGCATACCAACTCAAAGGCAAATCAGACCGCTGAAGGCAAATCAAACCGAAACAAAAGAAAACATAAACCGTTAGGTATACTAACTAAATGCGGAGGGAAGCAATAAAAGGAGGGGGAGGTGAACAATTAGTAAACACCGTCGACATTTGGGCAATGAGCAAAGTATAGAGAATCCATCAAAAACCTGTATAAAACCTTATGTTCTTCATTCCCACGCCCCTTTTCAAACTCTGTAGGGTGGACGGCATCAGGGCCTTTTAGTATTTGATAAGAAGTGGACGAAGAGGGCGCTTTGAGAGCGCGTTCAGACTTCACGATCGTGCGATCGGATCGCGCGATCCGACCGCGGTATTGGGATGGGTGAATCCCATGTTTATTGTACATTTGTTTTTTTTTTTTTGTTGTTCTAGTTCTTCCCAGCTCTAAAAAAGACTATTTCAAACAATATAGAAGCTCTTTGGACGACGACTTCACGAAATGACAAACCTAAAACAGACAAAAAACAAACAACGTGAACATGAACAAACGTGAACCCCCCTGCTGTGGATTTCACCCATCCCACATAAGATAAGCGGGATCGATCGAGCCACTTTGTTCGAAAATGGTTTCCATACTTCGTGACGAATGATTCCCGATGGCATTGTTCATCTCAAACTCCTCGTAGGTTCCGTCGCTCATTTCCAGCTATTACGGCCACACAAGAAAAGAAATTACTGTTGTTGTAGGAGTTTTCTATGTCCTGGCCTAATACACCACCTACTGAAGAACTCTTCGATTCATTTCTAGCCAATCAAAGAGAATTCAAGCGGAACAAGAAATGTTCCCATGTGAGGTTGGCATACAGAATTAAAGGGATCTGTTTGGAAGATCTATAGGTGTTTAAGGGACATTTCAATTTCACTTAGTATGTTTAGGGTATCTGCGAAACGCACCTCCCGCTCTCCTCAACCGGTTTCACGCTAAATTTTGTACTCCTCAATTCACTGAATGTCTCCAATTTTTACGTTACTTCATACAACAAAATATTGTGCTACAGTGCCTCCACTGACAATAAGTGAAAAGAATCGCTATGTAATACAAGGAAAAAAATTGCTGGCTAAGCGAATCAAACCAGACCAATGAAAGAGAAAATTGGGATACAATGTAGCTCACCATCCAGAAAGGTATGGAGCCGTCGCGTTGAGCAAGATTCGGTGCACGGAAGGAATGTTTGTATTCGAACCTCCTGAAGACGGGATTCTGACTCATCGTCAATCCAACGACGGCGAATACTCCCCATACCCAGATCATCCCTGAAAATACGAAAGACAGATTTACAAGTGCTATGCAAGGACAACTGAAATCTATCAATCAGGCTACAATAAATATTCCAATGTAACGACGATTTGACGACAAAAACAGCAGATCAAGAAAGAACCGACCAAACAGCGAGAAAACACCCGTTTTAGAATTAAAATGTTTTCGAAAAGTATCCTTGGTCGGAAGTACTAGAGTTGAGCAGCCATCATAAAAGATAACGAAAACGAGAAACGGTAATTAACGTCTCCCTTACTACGTAGTCTGAACGAAGGTAGCTAATCCTATACGCATCCGCAGTTCAATAAGTCAGGGAGCGATCCACCTTCCCACGGGAGAACTGGAGAACAGGTGGGCTGGAGAGAAAATCGTA